TAACTAGTTTCATGGGTATCCCAAACTCTATCAGAATATTGTACAATACTTCCCTCCTAACTGAATCATAGGCTTTCTTGAAGTCTATGAATAGCTGATGTACTGTCTCATCGTACTCCCATTTTTTCTCCAATATCTGATGAATGCAAGAGATCTGATCTGTAGTTGATCTGTTACGTTGAAACCCACACTGATGATCCCTAATGATTTAATCTATATATGGACTTAACCTTGACAGAAGAATATTGGACAAAATTTTGTATGAAGTTGATAGCAGTGATATCCCCCGATAATTACTACAGTCAGTTTTATCACTCTTCTTGTGAACTGGTACAATAATAGACTCCTTCCACTGATCAGGCAGTTTTTCCTTATGCCAAACAGAATTAATTAGATTGTGGATCTTGGAACGTAGTATTTCACTTCCTGCCAGAATTTCATAACTACCTAGCGATTTATACCGTTTCAATTTTGCAATAGCAGTTTCAACCTCCAAAGGTCTAAGATCAGGTACTAATGGCTCAGCTGTATGGATTTCTGTCTGCCTAACATCACTGACCCTATGTACATTCAATAACTGAGAGAAGTAGTTCCTCCACCTGTTCAAAATGTTGTGGGAATCTGCAAGCAGATCACCATTCTCACCCTTCACTAAGTTACTGCTAGGCTGGTAACCCCTCTTAAAGTCATTTATTCCTCTATACAAGTCTCTAATGTTCTTGTTCTTACAGTTCATTGCAAGNCATCAATTTTGTCTTTCAGATATTCCCTCTTTTTGTTCCTGAAATGCCTGCTGGTTTCACATCTTATATTGTTCAGATTATCCCCATTTATTTTGCTTGGATCCTGTAACCATTGCAATTTGACTCATTTTCTTTGGTGTAGTAATTTTAAGCATCCTTCATCGAACCATGACTTATGCTTCTTCAGTGCATAATAACCTAGACTCTCTTTGGCAGACTTTTTATATTCTCTCTAATAGTTTCCCAAGCTTTATTAACATCCACCTCAGTTTCCAAGTTTTCCAAAGCCACGGACCTATTTGAGATTTCAACACAATACTGCTCTTTACCCTCTACCTCATTTAATTTCTTGAGATTGAACCTCTCCATATGAATTCTGTGTGTTGTTTGTTTGCTCACTGCCAGTGTTTCCCTAACCCTTGCCACCACCAGGTAGTGGTCAGTATCACAATCTGCTGCCCTGAATGATTGGACATCAAGTATGCTTGAGTGCCATATCCTCTATCAAAACACGGTCTATGTGATTGTTTATCTTTCCATCAGGAGATGTCCAAGTAAATTTATGGATGTTACGATGTGGGAACATTGTACTTTTGACAGTAAGATTTTTTTATGTGACAAAGTTTACTATGCTAACTCCATTATCATTGCTAATTTCGTGCAAACTCTCATTCCCAATCATTGGTTTGAAAATGTCTTCCCTCCCTACTTTGGTATTGAAATCTAACAAAATTTTCATAGGGTACTTCGGGAATTTATCAAATACATGTTCTAGGTCTTCATAGAATCTATCCTTTATATCATCAATTTTATCTTCTGTTGGGGCGTGAACATTCATTTGGGAATATAAAATACAACAGTAATTTCAGAACATTTACAGAATTTCTTGAGCATCTCAGTAACTGTTGACTCTTCAAAAATGATTCTGTTCCATGCATATGTACGATTTTTGTGACAGTAGGATACTTGTCATATGAAGCCATTTTGGAGTAAATTTTGCAATTGCAGCTCTGAGAGTTAACACATATCAAAATTTATATTTCAGTTTGAATGACGTACGCAAAAAGCTTGATACGCTGGGCAGGCTTCAAGTGGTGCTGGATATTCTCCTTCTGGCTGAATCTCAAATTAAGTTTTCTGTGGGCAGCTTGCAATCCCTAGCGGCTTTCAGTTTGAACAATATTGAGACACAGGTAAGAGAGAACTGTACTGCCTTGAGGTATGAAGTTTATTGGCATTGAAGAGTCACATTACAGTCTTCTATGTTATGACACTATGAAGTCTGATGGGTGAGTACCAACAATTGGAGGAACGTTGGTGCCCCCACCACATGGCATGGTATCATGACCACAATATAGATCTTGCTTTGCTGTCTTTCAGAAATAGGATTTGTCTGTGTGTGTGTGTGTTTGGTTGTCAGTATGCTCACAGAGGAGAATAACCAGTTATTTATAGCCTCTTCTTTAGGTCCAAGTTATTTCTATTGACTACATGTTGAGGGAATCTTAAGGTTATATTTGTCATCACGGTGTAAAATTAGTGGTGTGGTGTGCTGTAAGTGTGTGGCAAATTATTCACTTCAGAAGTTCTGAAGGTGTCACAGAATTCGTTTATGTGTTGTGAGATATTCTTGAATGCAGGAGGGGATCACTTGAAGCAGTTCTTATAAACTGTGATAATATTTGTAGGATTTGAGGTTCTCACAGTAGTGGTTCTGAAGAGTACTGGCTTCTGGGAAATAATGGCATGTGTTACATCCCACAAGATAGTGCAATTTAAGATGATCTTGTGTCTCTTTACAATAATCAGCATTGATGTTTTGTTTAAGGGGAGCAAGTCATTGTCACATACAGGGAAACACCTTACGCTGTTCCCTGTACAATCATGCAGCAATCTTTTGCCACTCAGAGTATTGCGAGCAGGTCATTTCTGTCTCTAGAGGTCACTAATTCTCTAACTTTGCAACTGTTATTATCTGTTTCTAGGTTGGGTCATTCTCACAACTGTTGGAACTAGGCCACATAAGATTCCAAGCACCGGTTGACACCAGGGAAATAAAGAGCCTTCTCCCAAGGTGAGACATGAAGCACAGAGGTAGCTATGTGTGCCGCCTGCTTTAGTATTAACTTTGCCCACAGTGTAAAAAGTAAAGCTATCCCTGTACCAGCCCGTGAAAGCCCATAGGGTTGTGAGATGTTGAGGGGTCCTACATTATCAAGACAATCGGCTCAAAGATGGCGGTAAGATTGTCAGCCTTACGCTCCGACCTCGCTTTACTCCCCAGAAAATTATTTAATTAATTCCTGGTACTCATTTCTGTTAGAGGCTGAGTCAACCCCAGGGCCATAGTGCGGCTAGAAGGATTAGGTTAATTGAAAAAAATCCAATCACCTCATCGGGATTTGAACCCGTGACCTTCCGGCTTGTAGCATAGCCCCTCAACCAACTACACTACCGTGTTCCCCCTGCCCACAGTGTATTTATGTTTTAATAGTTGTCACTGTAAACAGCGATTGTTTCCCCAAGTGATATTAACTGATTGATCTTTGTAATTGAGTTGCAATCTGCCTCCTTTGAGGTAGGAACTGAATGTTAAATATTGTCACATGTGAGGGGTTAGCATGACTAATAATAGTGGGTTCTGGATTTGATGATTGTGTTTATTGGGACTCCTTTACAATTACAGTCAGTTGTAAGAGCTCATATTGAACTCCTTCTGAACGACGTCTGTCTGACAAATCTCTATGAAGAATCTCTGACTAATCTTAGACTGATCTGAATCTCTCAAATTCATGAATGTACTTCCTTTTATAACTGCCAGAGAACTGAACAGAGATCACGGCCTCCAAGGGTTACATTGCTGTTCTTTATCGATACACTGTCTTGGAAACCCTGTGTTAATTCTGAAGCAATGGTTTGGTTTCTCAATGTTTACAACTTTCAGTTTTCTTATCCATGGAAATTGTTTTGTTGTCATGAAAACGTGCTTACCAAAATGTTGGCTACTAAGCAACCAAGGTCCTACTGTTGACTGCGTTGCTTTGAGAATATGTTTACTGAAGTGTTGCCTAGCAAATGGTCATATAATGGCACAGTATGTATATGAGCTTCAAGCCTCAAAATGTTATTTCTTTCATGTGATTTCAGGAAGAAACATGACCTTGAAAGGATACATTCTTGTTTAACTCTTGTGTGTGCTTGTTAGCTTTGAATGTACTGACAAATTTCCATTAAACTCTTCATATCAATGGACCTCTCCCTGATTTCACATTTTTGTAAATTTTATTTTCATTAATTCCAGTACACTCACAAACTTCTGAAGTGATAAAGATGCTCTTGTGTTGAAATATCATGCAGGAAAACATCATGATTACCATGTGCAGTGTATTTGGTTTTGGATATAACTAGTGAATCATTTGCAGCTGTTTGTATTAAATTTGATGCTGCAAGGTATTTTCAGCTTTTAACAATGGTGACTGTCTTTGGGTTGTGACCCCATGAATTCTAGTCAGTAGCTACCATGTTTTGGGTAACATGATGTATCAATCTTCAAGGTGAACATGAGCAGAGTGGAGTGTGTGGCCAGGCTGTGTAGGCAGGTGACATGAATGGTGAATATTGACAACCATGGGAGGGGGGAATGGAGGTAAAGCCCTGTCCAGTTGGATTTATGAAACAGTAGCTGCCCTTACAATAATCGGAGGGCTGACGTGGATAGTGGTTCTTCAAAACTGACAATAACTCAGGAATCGTGAGCTGTTGCTGTAACATAAGTATCTTTTATGCAGTGAATGTTGTGAACATAAGTTGTAGTTTGGGTGGTTTTCTGGCTTCTTGTACATTTCCATTGTATGTGGACATCCAGGCCTCTCCATCTGTATCTTCTCAGATCTCCTCCCCCTCCTCAGTTTCTTCCCATGTTCCTCCTTCTGTGTGACATCTTGCCTAATCTCTTGTTCCCATCTCAATTTCAATTCTTCTCATGGCCATTTTCTTTTAGGTTGATTTGTTTATTCATTCTTAAAACATGTTCATACCACTCTGACTGGAGAGATAACTGTGAAGCATCAAATTAACATAGCACCTCGTTTCTGAAGATATTGTGACATGTAGTATGACTGTGTTCATAGATGGGGTTTGGATTGGTAATTGGATTGACCACTTACAGGTCGTAACTACAAATAACTGTAACTCTATCACTGATTTGCACACTTCACAGCGCTCTAGAGCACACAGTCTAGTGTTCTCAGTCTGTTACTAGATGTTTCCTGGTAATGTCTCCTAACAATGGCTAGTTCTGTCTAAATAGAGGCCCCCTTTCAACTGAACTATTCTTGCTTCAGTTGACCTTATAACCTCTTTGCACTGAGAGAGTAGAAAAGCCCATTTCCAAAAGTACCTCTGTTATTGCATGGTGATTCGTTGCTGTGGGAACTTGTTTACTGAGCCGTTGTCTCGAAATGGCTTAGGTGTATTTGCTTATCTCACAGCTGTTGCATAGTAAGGGCTCTGCATGCTACATTATTATTGCCAGCCTGTGCTACACAGTGTTATGGTGTCCAGGATTCTTTGCTCTCGGTTGAAATTTATGTATTAGCATGAATGCCACCTAAAGCCCACCTTATTTTCATACATGAGATTTAATGTTCTCATATAGATGAATATTTATTAAGACTTCAGCCTTCTGATACATGATACCAGTATTTTGGGAGACAGATTCCAGTATGTGCTCCTCCTGAAGTTGCAGGCAGCAGGATTCTCCGAAATACTGGAAGTTCCTGTCAAAGTACATGGCATCACATCCAAGAAGACTTATAATCTTAATTCATTCACTTAATTAAGGATTTATAAGTGTAATTTTGTGAAGATCTTGAAGGATACAAATGAAGTAAATGAGCTGGTCCTATGTTGTCAGGAAGTATTCCAGTTCATGCATGCAGTTCACTTCGGAAAGAGAAAATTACAAAATATGCACCATTCTACACTGCAGTGCACTACCTGCTTTCCCATTTTTGTCACCAGACATCTCAGGTAAGTGTTCACAACAGTGCAGTTAATTTCAATGTAGTCAGAAATTAATTATATATTTTTACAATTCTGTGTCAATATATCTTGTTTTGTGATTGAATCTGTCATTATTTACCAGCATGATGTCACCATATACCAAGTAGTGATAATTCCAAAAATTTGTGGGATTAATGGTCATTGCTTGCAGGAAGTACTCTATTCTTGTTGCATCCTTCTTTGTGTCATGCCATCCCCCTAACTTTATCATTGTTCACTGTTGAGTATTCATTCCCAATTGTCGCAAGAACTGACAGCAGTACGTACTGCACTGTGTGGTGAGCCTGTCACTGAGGCTGATGAAAGCTGTATTGTGATAGTTGATGGTTCACTCACATCATGCCAGGACCAGATGTCATCATATGCTGATATAGACAAACAGCAGTGACAAACAAACATAAAGTAAACTGGGAATTAAATTAACCCCTACAATAATTTTAACCAGTCTGCATGGAGACTGTATTGTAGAAGCATTAGTGTGACTTTGTTGTCTTATATGCATGGGTTGGAAGATGCAAATAAAAGTGATTGTCTGCACTGATGTGGGCAAGCAAAAATAACCAATGATGCCTTGGGGGCTGAAGGAACCAACATATATGGGGGGATGTGATCAGTGATCTTGAGGGAAAGTGGTTGCTGTTTGCAAAATGTAAGTCCAAAGATTTTAGTACACAACTGTCCCAAGTCAGTATACACTTCCTGCATGGCAGCTTGCACTTCCATGTACAATCCAAGATTGCCATTATAAACTGTTCTTATGGTGAATGGTGAAGTGTAAGTACTTTTCTCAGATACTTCCAGTATGGTAGCTTGCACTCCCTTATGCCACCCAAGGTTGCACTTGCAAAAGACATACTGGTATTTCTTCTCAGTGTTTGATGGATGCTACTCTGTACACTGTGACATCATGCACATGTGACATAATCCTCTTGGATGGATAGACAAATCAGCTTTGGATCAGGGACCAGGATTTGCTTGAGACAGTCCCTTAATAATCTGTTGAATGCAAGTTGTCTCTCTAGGGGAGGTTCACATAATTGTATAAGTAGAATTGGTCTATCATGACTGACTACGACTATAGATCACAATCAGTCAAACTGCTTTGGTGTTTGTTTCTCATAACAGAACTAATATATGTTAACCTTTAAACGCCGGACTTCGAAATAGTGGTAAGCTTGAGCTGGCCGGAGTTTATTTAAATGTCCGCTGCTGGTGCGCGTTTAAATGCCCGTTGCTACGCTGCGTTTAAATGTCCGTTCCTGTTATGCGCTTAATCAATTTTAAGCGTTGTGTTTAAAAATGCTCTATCTAGCTCAATTTTTATGATAAATGGATGGAAATAACTTTGTTTATTTCAGAAAAGAACATAGTGTCGCATATTATAAAGGAAGATTTGAAATTTTTAATACAAAGTGTTGTACTCTATTTTCAATTTTTTGTGTTTTAATTTTGATGCGTACTGCAAAAATGGTTTCCCAGTTCTTCACAGAGTTGTTCTGCATTATAACTTCATTTCTGTTTGTAACACTTGACAAATTTTAGCAGTCTCTGGTGTCATAAAACAGATGGAAGCAATAAAATCATTTGGTCTTCTGCTAGCGCTGCTTACACCCTTCGGATTTTCGAATACTTGACTGAAGGTCAGAAGAATGAAAGAATGGCTATTCAAGAGAAAGCTATAGGGGTCCCCTCTTCAGTGCTAAGATGTTCCGTTAGGGCTGCAAAAGCTTATTGCCCCTTCTATTTGAATGAACAGACAGCTGCATCGTGGCTGAGATACAGAGCGTGATCTCTTTTGTGTGCGTTCGTAGTGAAATCGAATACTGTAGTTTCATTTGAACCTATATATACATCAAGAAGGTAACAACAAAAAAGGTATGTACATCGAATTTTACACTATATTTTTAACATACCTATCTGCAGAATCTGCAACAAAATTACTGGATTGTGGATAAGTTTTGGCATAACTCATACGTATATTTTTATTTGCTGTTGTTCAGTAAGGTATTATTTTAATTCCTCTATTAGGGTTTTACTTAAGTCGGTCTGGTAATTACTACATTTAAAAATAAATATTCAGGACTGTGCATGCGCTTCTACTAGCGGCGTGTGCGCGCGCTTCCACTAGCGGAGTTTAAATGCCTGACTGGCCACAACTGGGTACTTTGGCCACGACGACCTTACTCATGACTGGCACAAACTGGGCACTTCGGCACTTAAAGATTAATAACAAGGATAACATCAGTAAGGTTCTAGAAGTGTTCACAAAACTGCCTGGTAAGGATGAGCTCCTCTGTGTATAAAGAAAGACTGTCATTTGGGCTGGTTACCTCAGTCCAGAAATGAGCATGAAGGTAACTGTTCATAATGGCTTCACCAAACACATGGCTCTGTCTGATCACACACAGAACTCTTATATTATGCAGCCTTATCATAAAGAAATGACTTCTTCTGCATGTTATCCATATCATCAGTAATAATAAAATTACAATTCACATGTCCTGAAGAAATTAATTACACCCTCTGATGCAAGTTGTCTGTTTGCACACTAGTAAAGTGAACTAAAGAAATTTAATCTGGCAGACAAGATGGTGACTGCACGCACCTGGAGTATTCTGTTGCAATAGGAAACCATCCCCAAGAAAAATTCCATAGTCCATAATTCCTACCCCAGTGGCTGTTAGCACTGAAATCTTTGACAAATTAATCCAAAATTTATAACTTTAAAGTACCTTTTCATGCAAAAAGCCAGGAAAACGGGATCTGCTTATGCCATTCTTTTCAAAGCTGAGTCACTTTTCAGCATCATGTCCTATTGTTTCTCCATAATGCTCAGTCCAACACCAGATGTTAATGATTCTGTATTGTCTGCTTGCTCAGGGCCCAAGTCTTCTTCAAGGCATGTTGACCCTGTGCACAGTGACTTCATCACTGGTGATGCCACCTACTGCCATGCTGAAATAAGGCTGATCCCTGTCCACAGTTCACCTGGTGATAAGCAGGCTTGCTTGGTTGGTTCAGCAGAAGGGGCAGATATCCCCTTCCCCCCCTCTCACAATCAGATACTAAACATACACCCTTCTTCACTACTTTCAACATTGTTACGACACATGTTCGTACATTCACATCTCTCTCCCCATCATTAGGATCTGGCAGAGATAAAGAGAGACACTCCCTGAAATGTCAATTGTTTCTGACCAGCTGACATGGCTGATAGCCAGAGATCATATTAAGCTTAGCCAACATCAGAGCTTCAGATCTTGCATACTTTCACACCTCCTATAATATAAAATCTTTTGAGTGCTGTTTACCTAAACTGTTTTAATATGAAGGAGATGGAGAAAGAAGGGGGAGAGGAAGGATGATGGGGTGCTCAGATAGAAGGAAATACATGAAAGGAAGACAAATTGGATGAACCATCACAAAGAGCTCCCAAGCAATTTTTATCTTATGAACCAATAGGAAGACATGATCCAGGAAGGCCAAGAAGAAGATGGCGTGATATTTGAGGATAGAATGGGCTAACAAGCTCATCCCTTGAAAAAGCAGATGATGATGATGGTGACAGTGATGCTAATGGAAGGGATATGGTAGAAAGGAGGAAAGCAGATGAATGCACAGATGGGATAAAGGAACGAAAGAAGAGCATGAGGGTTGAAGATAATGTAAAGATTTATTTCCAGTATTCTAAGAAAACCGTGACCAGATGATAGGATTTTATAGTTATTAGATATTAATATATACAACAGATGAAGGAACTTTCCATTGCATCTGGGATTGGTGTCAATATAAATCTGTTTTTTTACCCCTCCTTGACTTTGGTAATCCCTGTTCCCACATAATTTTACATATCCCTAATGACATTAAGTAATAATGTTATTTTATATGTATATAGAGGTAACAGGCCATGAAGGCCCATATGGTTGTGAGACATTGAGGCTCCCTTATTTTCTAGACAATCAGCTCACAGATGGCAGTGAGGTTGTCAGCCTTACGCACCGTTCGCCAGGAAGATTCCTGGTACTCATTTCTGTTAGAGGCTGAGTCGACCTCCCGGCCGTAGTGTGGCTGGATGGATTAGGTCAATTGAAAAATCTACCTCATTGGGACTTGAACCTGTGACCTTCCAGCTTGTAGCATAGTGCCTCAACCAACTACACTCCCACGTTCCCCATATATATTAGTTTGTTTAAAGAATCTGCCAATAATTCAGACCATATAGCATTTAATAATTGGAAGATTGTGAATAATGGGTTGAGAAGATTGTGGAAGGAAGTGGTATTGGCCTAATTTAAGGTACTGTCCTGCTTTTTTATGGAGATGTTGAGGAAAATCATGAAGAACCTAAGGATATGTGAGATTTGAGGCTGTCATGTGCAGTGACTGAAAAATACCACCTTCTTGGGTGAAATACTATGATGACATCGCATGCCACAAGATGGTACCTTCTCAGTCAGAATACAAGGTGTGTCCAAAAAGTCATGAAATATATATATATATTTTTTAAATTTATTGATATCGGTACAAAGAGTTAATATTCTTCAAAGTACTGTCCATGAGCATCTACACATTTTTTCCACCGACTCTCCCATGCCCGGTACGCCCCCTCAAAGGCCTCGACTGGAACCTCATTTAAAGCTGTTGTCACGGCCGCTTGGATAGCCTGAATGCTTTCAAAACGGCGTCCTTTGAGTGCAGTCTTGATCCTCGGGAACAAAAAGAAGTCGGCCGGAGCTAGGTCGGGGCTGTAGGGTGGCTGCGGCAGCGTTGCCACGTGGTGCTTCGCCAGGAACTCACGGACGAGCAGAGACGTGTGGCTGGGTGCATTGTCATGATGCAGCCGCCAGTTAGCGGTGATGTCTTTTCGCACACGGATGACCCTTTTCCTTAATCTTTCTAGAACATCCACGTAGTAGGGAGCGTTGACAGTCTGTCCTTGGGGTAAAAACTCTTTGTGGACCACACCCTTGGCATCGAAAAAGACAATGAGCATTGTTTTCACTTTGGATTTGCTCATCTTCACCTTCTTCGGTTTCGGGGAAGCCGAGGTGTGCCATTCAGCACTCTGGCGCTTCGTTTCTGGGTCGTACTCAAATGTCCACGTTTCATCACCAGTAATAACACAGTCTAAATAATGAGGTTCAATTTCCACACGTTCCTTCAATTCACTAGCGATCAACACTCGATTAGCCTTTTCCTCGTCCATCAACAATTTGGGGACCAGCTTGGCGCACACCTTTCGCATGTTCAATTCGTCCATAACGATGTGAGGCACAACGGTTTTTGGAATGTTCAGAGTGTCGGCTAACAACCGGACAGTCATTTGATGGTCAGTATTCAACAAATCATGCACACGAGTCACATTTTCATCGGTTTGGCTTGTTGATGGTCGTCCAGAGTGGGGGTCATCTTCCACTCCTTCCTGGCCCTCCTTAAACTTCTTCACCCACCTTGTAACTTGCACATATGATAGAGCAGACTCCCCGTAGGCTTGCTTAAGCAGTTTGTGAGTTTCGGCAGCTTTTTTGTTGAGCTTTATGCAGAACTTGACCGCCCAACGTTGTTCGAAAGTATCCGCCATCGTGCGCAGTGACATGGTCACAAAACACATGTACACTAAATCAGCGATACTGACGCCTTCGATGCTCGAGCAGACTGATTTTGGGCGCGCTGTGAAGCTAAAGGCCTCCCCCCCTAACCCAACCGGTTCCAGCACGCTCCAACCAGTAGGAGCGCGGGAAAGAAATATATTTCATGACTTTTGGGACACACCTTGTAGTTGATGTCCTGGCCAAGATCCAAACTGTACACCTAAATAAGGTCCAAAATGTCACCACTTTAGCAGACTTGTTTGGTAACAGTGTGATAATAGGAAACATCTTGTACATTTGTGTTTGATTTGTTTCTTAACAGATTCCCAGTTGAGTGATATAAGTGGTCTTGAAGAGGATCTTCATTGCAGTCAGCTGACTTGCCTCAGCAACAAACTGTTTTAATTACAGCAGCCAAGATGGAAGTTACAGAAATGTCACAGTTAATTATTAGTGATGCTTTCTGCAGGTGAGACTTGCAGCACTGACGATGTGGTTCACAGCTGTTGGTAAATTTAGTTTTCTTTCATCATTACTGTGGCTTCAGTAGCAGTCAGCTCCTTTGTACATGCATTAACCGTAACCTACTCCCTTTCAGAAGGTTTCTGACATCATAATTTTGTTGTACATTTCCACTATTGGAAGCCTTCCACTACCAACTTCATGACTTCACAGCCAAGTTATGATCCCAGACTGAGGGGTATATCTTTGCTCATTATATTCTTTGACATGTTTTCTAGTATGGTGCATCATAGGAATGTTTTTTTTTCCCCCTGTTATCAGTGTGTGTGCGTGTTGGGTTTACGTGATGTTCTCCCATAGCTGGTGTGAATGAGGTTGGAAGTAACAAGGCTTGGAAGGGCACGTCCTCTGGTGTAAGTCATGTTGGACCGTTTTATCAGAATTACAGTACTTATCTGACTATAATATTGTCTTAGGCACAAGGCCCAAACCCCCCCCTCCCCTATCATGACAGTATGATTAAATTTTAACAAAAATAGAGCACTAAAAACAAAAAGGATGAATGCTGCACAACCATTTTACCAAAGATTTTATTCATTTGTCTTAATTGCCAGCAAAAAATAGAAAAATGAGGATCCTCCTAAAGATGTCTAGAATGCTACATTAAACTTTGATTAAAAATTTTAATTCTCCATCATAGAAATTATTGTAGGTCCTGTTATGGATAAACTTGACACTAACATACAAGCAATACCACTCATTACTGTTCTATAACCAAAAGATGAATCCTGAGCTTCTGTTACAAGAATGTCAGTAGAGTTACAAGTTGCACACATTACTCATGTCACATAATGCTGAAGCATATACCTGTGTCTGTAAGAATGCTTACAACACATATAGTGGATTAGTTCTGCTTCTTTTTTTGAAGGAGGCATTTTATGTGAATGTAACATATTTTTCTTGAAATGCTTCAGACTTAAATTATCACAATTCAATATTTTTATTGAATATTTCATCCTTTTCTTTAGGTAGGCATCCTTCCAATCATAGTTCTCCATGTATCATCTTGGTGTGGAACACTGCTCTGAATTCTGCATTTTACTCTAAGAAACTATATTTGATGAATTGCTGGAAGTAATCATCACTTCTGCCTCTTGTTCTGCACCACCGCATTTAATCTCTGCGGTATATTCTTACCCAATAGTTCACTATACATACATATAAAAGCCCAACATTGTTCTTGGTAATGTTGATCCTGCTTTGGGGCAACAGTAGGGCTGTGGAAGTGGGCCATGTTGCCAACATTTTGCTTCTTGCCTGGTTTATCTCTTTCATGAAACAGTCCTTTCAAATATCAGCAGTACCCATTGGCTCATGCATACCCCTGGCCCATCTTCCCTCTCAATTTATCATTTACCACTTTCCTGTTCACTTTACTTCTCTACCCTGGAATCTGAGGAAGCCATTTCCTCCAAAATGTTGGCCACACAGCCAAATTCCACATGGTACCATAAGCCCAAAAGAGGATCAGCATCATTACCGAATTTCTGTTGATTGCCTCCTCCATTTTATGGTTCCACTTCATCAAGTATAACAAAATACACTACATTATTTAAGCCTCTGGGTTCACTGCTTCTTGTGCAGGTGCTTGTTCACCGCAGACTTTTGATGATGGCGTCTGTCCAATTGTAGAAGATAAGCAGCCACTGACCTCATTGCTGTGTGGTACAGACATCTCTCCTTTCTCACATGTATACTCCGATATTTCATCATCTTCTCCCTTGTATTGCGGTATTGTTACTTCCAGTTTGCTTGTTTTCTGAGGCTTCTCAGGTGAAAATTCTTCTTTTTCCTCTTCATCCTCTGGGAAGAATGCCTCATAGTCCTTTTTACCATCATCTACATTGTCGCTTATATATATTGGCCCCAGCTGACAGAATGACAGAAGAGGATCACTCCTTCTGCGGCTTACCACAATGACTAGGGTTTCACCACTAACACACAAGCAAAAACAAATAAATTAGTTCACTGTATTATAACTATTTAGCTTGAGACTGGTGAGTTCCTGTTCTATGTCCATCATCTTAGTATTCTGAAAGAACACAACATTTCAGAAACTGGTTCTGTTGCTGTTCCCAGGTGCACAAGTCCACAAGTCCAGTGATTAATACTGGTTCCTTCTAAGGAACCCCAACAGAGTAGGTGCCTGTCACCTTTTCACCTGAGGACAGACAGATCCAGTTTCCAAAACTCCCCCNCTTATAATGAATTTGTTATCAGAGATATGAAGTGCCACTCATTATAAGTTTCATATGTGTATGTATACATGGTTTTAAGGGATCTTATATCATTGCAATTACAAATTTTAAATTCATGCAGCCTCCAGATCTTCTGGTTCACAAATAGAAACACACACAAAAAAACTGTGAAATATTTATAAATTATAAGTTAGCAAATTATGAAGGGACAAGAGAGGATGGAAGACCTCAGTTGAAATGCTCAGATCAATTTTGAATTTGGGATGGGCCCAAGAGGTCCAATCCTTGTTTGTACAGAAGAAGACATAACTTTTTTTTATGCTTCAGGTTATTTCATTAGGATAATGCATCAAAAGAATAAAACATACCTTATTTCAAAGCAGTCTCAACTCATACAGTCCTATGAATTTCGTTGGGAAGAACATTTGTTTAATTTTATTATTCAGAACAAGATGCTTTGGTAATCTTTAGGCATGTTCAGCACACCATTGCTGATTGTTAAATATTTGTGTTACGAAAGGTATGCAGAGCATAATGATTTTCAATTAATTATATTGTAAAAGTGTTGGAAATAAAAATATATGTTCTGTTTTTCTTTACAGCTTCTGTTCAAAACATTTTCACCCCAAGAAATATTGTCTCATGATGCAGAATGTGACTGTAGGCAGGTTTTGGATTGATGACTGGATTTATTAGAGTCTTTGGTACATAATGCGTGACTATATTTTACAGTTCACTATCTCACACACATGCCCACACACACACACACACACACACACACACACACTAATGTCCACTGTCATGTCTTCACTGCTGTTGCTTGTTAGACAGACCTTACCCTTCCTGTGAGTCCCTGAACTGCCCCCAGCCTCAGCTACCACCTTCTAAAAACAGCTGACATTGACTGAATCACAGTAGTCCTCTAACTTACTGACTGACTAACTTAGTCACAAACTGACTGACTCAGCAGACAAACTACTGCAGCTCCCAACTTGTCCTGCTCATAATATTTTGGCATTGAATTTGTAGGAAACACCGCTTCCCATTGTTGTATCCAATTTTTGCCATGGAAACATGCTTGTTTATGGAGCTGTTACCTAGTAATGGCTTGCCTCTTTTTCATTTGTTGCCTAGCAACTGGTCTACATGCCGTAATGTGTGATAAGTTATGCCCGAGATATATGCAGAAGCACATGAAGGTTTTCATGTCTGGTGACCCTGTTGTTGTCCAGTTTTGTCTGGAAGTTCAACATGTTGACAAATTTTAGTAGAACTCCCCACTGTAAAAATGTCATGGGAATTCACCCAGTGGTTCTCAAGTGTTTCATGCTTACAGACAGGTGGATGGATGGACGGATGGACTGAGCTGATTCTGAATACAACTAGAAGCTGTCTGATGTAGTAATGAACTTTATGTAGGGAATGGTAAGAGGATAGGTTTGGAATGCTGGATGAAGCATTGTGATCCAAGAGAATTGTGTTTTGACATACTGGAATCCAGCATTTCTTTACCACATTGAGGTATTTACTAGAAACATAACAGTTCATTTTATGCATATATTTATATTTCATTTAGTGATGCTCTCAGGACTTCAGACTACAGAGCATTGAATTGTAGGTTAGTGAATGAATTGGAAAGAATGTGGGAGGAAGTGCTTGTAGCCTAATTTGAGGCGTTTTTCTGTCATTTTCCTGGAAGGCCTGAGGAAAGACATGATATATCTAATTCAAGATAGTCATCCCAACCAAGCTGTGAACTGGGTATGTTTCAAATACAAGTGAGAAGAAGTTTCAGTGGTGGGGCCAACTTTGTTGGTGATTTTACAGTTAACAGATACCATAATAATACATACTCTTGTTTATTATGTTGCTCATATTGCTCTTGGGTTGTTGCCAACTTTATAGCACTAGAAGGATCAGGTCCAGTGAAATATCCTGTTGTGATGATTTCGTCTTGAAAATTCTGCATCATCTCATTTACTTCTAGTGACTTGACAGCATCAAATACAATTGTAATCACAGGAGGCAATGTTGGCTGAGGTGGCAGCTTGTACTTTTCAGCAAACTTTGGAAAAAACTTCATGATTGCATTTGCTTTCCCATCAGGCGTGAGTGGTGTCCAAATTGCTGGTATGTCTGTTCCCTTCCTATACCTTGCATCCAAGCTGTGGAGAAAATTCAGTAGGAAACTTTTCAATGTCTAACATAATCACAGATGTGAAGATTATGGTTTTCTGGGTTGTGATTCCACATAGTCTGGTAGATGGTTATCGAGGTCTCAGAGAATCCTGCTGCCTACATCTTCAGCAACCTTCTACCCTAAAGATGGAGGCAGAAGGGTTCTCTGAGATGTTGATACCTGTATTCCAGACTACACAGTGTCACATCCCAGAAGATTTGTATTATTTGTCACCGTAAGAACCTCAAATCTCTTGACAAATATTGTTTGCTTATGAGAGATAGTTGAGTGACTAGATTCTGAAGGTTCTTATGATGGTGCATAACACTCATGATTACTGGGTTTTTGAACTTCGTCCATCACCCAGTATTCTAACAAGTATTAAATAATGCAGTGTTTTAGAAACTGGATCTGTTTCCATCCTCATGTGAGGAGTGGGAGACATCTACTCTGTAGGGTCTGTTAGAAAGGGCTAACCTCAGTCACTGGACCTGCAAGTCCTAATGGACCCAGTAGAGTTGGTGTCCATCACCTGAGGGTGGAAATAGATCCAGTTTCTGAAACGTTTTCTTTAGTGTCTTTTAGAAAACCGGATGATTGAAGAAGTTCAAAATCCTAGTAAACCCGAGTTAAGGGACTGCCTACATACAACTACTGCTGCATATGATACTAAGAGTCAGTTGTTCAACCAGCCTGATATTATGGAACGTCATCACTGCCAAAACCAGTCTGGGCTAGGTCAGGATGATTCTAAATGATAACACTATCTTCTGGGATGTGACATTCATTGTGTAGCCCAGAAGAGGGTGCTGATACTAAGGGTTTGTTAGGTTTCTGTAATGTCCACGCTGGCTGGCTCAGGTCGGAGCAGATCACATGTGTTGTTGTATTCGAGAAGGGGCTGCTGGTGTTGGTGCATAATGATGAGAAACAGCTTTATGTAAGAGCCACCCAGATTGGGTGTTACTTCTCTATGCGAAAACAAAAAAACAATCTCAAATTATTGTATTGTGCCTCCCCACCCCCCAGGCAATGGACAAGCAATATTCTGCCATTTGTACAATTTACATCTTCACAGTGTGTTTTCACTCAAATCTCTTAACACTGTTCTCCATCTGGACTAAGTCCCTTGCACTGCCGCCACTTCTGGCCTATTGTACCAGCCCCTGATGATAGGTGAGGGTGATTATGGAGCAAATGGTGGAGTGAAGATTGGCAGGAGAAACCTGCCGCCAATTCTGGCCTATTGCACCAGCCCCTGATGATAGGTGAGGGTGATTATGGAGCAAATGGTGGAGTGAAGATTGGCAGGAGAAACCAAAGTACTCGGAGAAAACCTGCCCCAGCGCCATTTTGTCCACCACAAAGCCCACTTGACCAGACCTGGGATTGAACCCAGGCCACCATGATGGGAAGCCAGCGACTAACCACTTGAGCTATTGTGCGGCCCTCATACAGATTCATATTTTACAATTTGGTTTTGTTTTTAATAGCGAATACGCCTTTGTAAAATGTAACCTAACAATACACCCGAGAACTCTGGTAATACTATACAGGTCTTATCTAAAATTAAGATTGTTTAAGACTAATATATATTGTGATTTGTATTTCATATAATTTATCCTTGAAATAAAATTTAATTAAAAAGTTTTTAGAATTGTTTTATATAAATCCCTTCTCTGATGATATCCTGGTTCTGGGCTAGTTCTAAAGTGTCTTAAAAATTGAGCTTATGATTAAAAATAGTTTTATAACGTCATAGTGATTGTTTTTGTTGGTTGATGAATTATGTTATATTACGATTGATACTTGAGTCAACAAAATTTGTAACTTGACACTGTGGTTTTATTTTTGCAAATAAATGTAAACCAGCTTTTGCCAAGTTTCATTACCTCTCAGGGTCTACACTCAGTGGATATCTGTCTCCCTCTGTTGGCCAACAGCCATATATAATCTTCGCCACTTCAAGCATGGCATCAACTTGTGCTGTTGAGATGTCTTCCCCAGTGTCCTCATTCTCTTCTGGTTCAGTTTCCTTCTTATCTAGTTCAGGAAGTGGTGCCACCTCTCCAGCTTCATGTGGTTTGTAAAGTATCAACTTTGCTACAGCTTTACCAGATTGCAGCTGCTCAGTGAATTCTTGTGACACTTCTTCTCTACCATCATAAAGAATCTGGACACAGAAATGTTACAATTTATAAAGGACAAGTCTGGAAATGTATGCATGAATGAATGAATGTATGTATGAGGGGTAGGCCTTCTCGGCCCTTGCACCGCGACCTACAGTGGTCTATTGTGCTTCGCCTTTTGATTATCCCCTCAGAAATCCTGTGCGTCGAATGAAGCGCAGGATTTTGTACATGGGGGCGTCAAAATAGTCACTTGGTTCCATAAAGTATTGACCCAAGTGACATAGTCTTAAATAAGCTAAGGCCACACATTCACACAGGATATGTGTGGCTGTTTTGTTTTCTTCATGACACCTCTCACAAGTGGGACTATCACTTAGTCCCAGTTTGAACAGGTGTCCTTTGAGGTGACAGTGTTCTGTAAGTAGTCTTACCACCCATTGTAGCTGGTTCCTGTTTAACTTCAACAGTTCCTTTGCTCTTTTAGTAGAGGGTCCTCGTATGAGTCCCTTTGCTTGCCTGAGTTCAGTCAAGGATCCCCAGTATTTCTTGTGTTTCATGTTTGTCCAGTCCCTGATTGCCTGTCTGGCAACTCCTATAGAGATGCCACAGGCTGGTTCAGCTCCAATCTTAGCTAATTTGTCTGCTGTTTCATTTCCAGCAATACCCTCATGCCCCGGCACCCATATCAGTTGTACCCTGTTATGTTTGGCCAGTTCCATGAGGGTTTGGTGGCAATCCCAGACCAATTTTGAGTTGATCTGGGGTTTGTCAAGCACTTTAAGTGCAGCTTGGCTCGGCCAACCTCACCGAGGATGGCGTCATTACCACCTGTAACATGTGACATAAGAACGCCACAGTTACTCCGGGATCAAACCCGGGCCACCAAATGTATGCATAGTGCAACATTTCTGGTGTAGTCACTCTCCTTTAATTAACATAAAAACTGTATGACAGAAAAGTACATTGCACATAAAATATGTGTTTCATTTCCTTCTACAGTGTTTCTTTGAAAAAGTTTTCTGGTAAATGCTTATGATGAGGATACCCACAGAAACACAATAGGTTCTTATGTTGTTTCTAGCTGGCTTCCCACCGCGGCGACCCGGGTTCGATCCCGGGACTGTCAAGTGGGATTTGTGGTGGACAAAGTGGCGCTGGGGCTGGTTTTCTCTGAGTACTTCGTTTCCCCCTGCCAGTCTTCATTCCACCAATTGCTCCAAAATCATCCTCACCTATCTGGGGCTGGTACAATAGGCCAGACCTGGCCGCAATAGAAGGGACTTAGTCCCACCTCACTAGCAATTAAAAAAAAAGGTTCTGATGATGGTGTTGTGGTTTCTAGTTTTTAGAATACTGGATGATGGACAGTATCAAAGAACCCAGTATTTCTCAGGTTCTTATGTTGTTTCCCTTATTTTTGTAAGATTGTAATCAGAATAGGAATGCACTGACAAATTTTAGTAAAACTACAACATTGAATTTCATAAATATCCATTCATTGATTTTCAGATTTTTATGTCCAGACAAGACAGTCATGGTGAACCTAATAGTCACATCTTTGCAACATTTTATTTTGAACACCCAAGAATTTTTTATATACACACACAAAGTACCAATGTATGTCTATACCATTGCATTTAGTGTCATCTCATTGAGGAGATCTTGTTGTCTCTATCTAAGGCATAGATCTTGATTTCAATTGCCCTATGTCTGATCCCTGAGCAAATTTGTTAGAACTTAGACTATGGATTGTGACTGATACTGGTTTGGTCCACAGCTTATCATGTGCATTACTGAAGTCAGTAGATGCCACCATGTGTCTGGATGCTATCAGGCATGACTCTCATGAAACAGTACAGTTGGTCAGTAGTTCTGTGCTGATTCATGAAAGCAGCTTGATGTTAAGATAATTTTCATGAAATTAATAGTCTTTTCTTTGAAGGATCATTCTTTGCCTAATTTGTCCTGGAATGGATGTTAATGAAACTGTTCCATAACTTCCAAGATTGTCACTTGGTTTATCTGGTTTTAAAATTGGTATGAAACTTGGTGATTATCATTTGATCAGCCATTTAGCCCTTATACAACTTGCATTTATTAGGCAGAGGAGGCGTTCTTTCAATAGAGATGAAAGATGTTTCATCATGGCCATTGACGCCATCATACCCACAAGCTTTATTGGTTTTTATCCTATTTCATACATCCAGCTCAAATGTTATGAACCAGTCAGTAAATAATGGATTCTTGTTATTTAAGTTGCCTTGATTTTTGTACTTTCTGGATTTTTGTGCTGATTTCAGAACTTAATTTGTTAATCTTAGCAAAATGTTCAGTAGAAGCATTTGCAATATCATATGATCCACAAATTATTGTACTTGATTCTGCTTTTATGATATATGTTTTTCTATTATCACATATTTCTATTAAAATTTTATCATGTTTCAAAAGTGTAGATGCAATAACATTATAAACCTGTACAAACCAGTGCTGTTATCATGAGGTTTCTTTTACTGGCAAAGTACACTAATACTGATAGAAGCCTACCTTGCTCAACTTGCATCTTCTGTTTCTGTTCATAAATATTTATTAACATCGATGCTTAACTTACATAATGAGAGAACACCAGGTGTCAGTCTTCTCCATGTAAGGACTGAAAGTCTCCACTGACCTGATTTAAAAGAGTTCAGAGGTCCACACACATTAAAATGGTTACGTTCACTAATTAAATACTGAAACAATCTTTCTAAAATAACTTGAATCTATGTATTATTTTATTTGCTATATACATCTTCCTTGTTTGTATAGCTATAAGGGGCAGTCAAATGAAAACAGGTCACCATGTATAACTCACACGGCACGCAAGTTGGTGACACTGTAATTTGCTTACGGTACGAACATCTGGTAGGGACTCAGGAAAGCAGAGTGACAACATGCCCTTGCACACTAGTCGTTTGTTTATTGTGCTGGAAGTAATGTTAGCGCTACATGTGGTCATCCGACATCAGTAATGGAGGTGGGTAAAGAAGAACAGCGAAGTGTAGTGTGCTCTTTGACTGCTGAAGGAGGAGGAGGAATGTAAGATTTATCGTCGCATGTCTGTTGTTTACAGTGAACACAACATGACACGTTCCCATGTGCTGGTGTGGCATAAGAGATTCCGAGAGGGAAGTGTGTCACTGCAAGATGATGCTTACCCAGGGCAGGCTTATCGTGTCATTACTCCTAATGTTATTGCTGCTTTGGATGGTCATATCCGGGCAAACCGATGGATCACTGTGGAAGAAATTAGTCTTTTGATGGGAATAAGTCACGGTTCTGTACACACCATTGTGACAAAACACCTGCTGTACCGTAAAATCTGTCCGCAGTGGGTACATCAACTCACGGAGGAACAGAAGACTCAGAGAATAGCTGCATCACTGGGTCACTTGCAACGATAGCATAAGGAAGAGTATGCTTTTCTTTCCCATATTGCCACTGGAGACGAAACTTGGTGCCTACATTTTGAACCCTAGAGCAAACGGTAGAGCCAACAGTGGAAACACGTGAATTCTCCCCCACCAAAGAAATCCAAAGCCGTACACACAAGTTCCGGTAAAGTGAATGAATGAATGAATGTATAAGTGGCGGGCCCTCTCAGCCCTTGCACTGCGACCATAGTGATCTATTGTGTCTATCCGGCCAAGTGATGATGATGTTCTTCGACTGCAAGGGCCCTCTGCTTGTCAAATTTCTCGAGCATAGGGCCACAATCAGTTCACAGCGCTATGAAGACACTTTGCAGGAACTGAGATGTGCCGTAAAGTCAAAATGCCCTGGAATGCTATCGAACGGCATTATCCTTCATGATAATGCATGATCCCACACTGCCAACTCTGTGAGGAATACGCTACAGAGATTTGGTTGGGAAGTGCTTCAACATCCCCCCTACAGCCCAGATCTCTCCCCATGTGATTTTCACATTTTTGGAGACCTGGAGAGAGACATTTGTGGACATTGGTTTGCATCAGACGAAGACATGTGTGGCTAGGTAAAGATGTAGTTCCATAGACAGCCCACAAGCTTTTTCAAGGATGGGATTGACCACCTTATGTCCCAGTGGGATAAATGTATTAACAGTTTTGGAGATTACTTTTGAGGTAAGAAATGTTCTTTAATATGTTTTGGCTTCTGGCCCGTTTTCAATTTAACTGCCCCTCATATGATTTCATTATAAAGAAACTCCGAATAGATTCTAAAGGGTTCTGACAGTGGTGTATGACACTCAGAATTTCTGAGCTTTTGGAGTTTTTCCACCATCCAGTATTCTAGAAAATAGAAAACATGATGTCTCAGAAAATGTATTTGTTTCCGTCCTCAAGTGGGGGGAGGGGGAAGACACCTACTCAGGTGGAACAAATGAAGACCAATGGCTTGTTCTGTTCCTACCTGTGTAACATCTGTCTGTAATGATATATAAATTAAATAATGATTCATGTTATTACCTCTGCAGCTAAACTGGAATGTAGTTCAATATTTTCTTCATCTTGCACTGCATATCCCATTGGTCCAAGCTTCTCTAAGAGGGCCTGCCATGCTTCGCTGCTGCCATTCTCATATAAGTAAGGCATAAGCAAGATCACTGTATAACTGCTGATGTATTTCACCAGATTGTGAAGTTCCCTGCGATGTGCTGCAGCTCTGGCAGCAGCTGTAATATGTAACATGAAACTGATGAAGAGGGTGCGAACACACTCATTAGTTCACATAGCATGAAATTAACAGTGAGGATCATGAATGGCTAGGAAGTAAACATCTGGAAGGAGTAGCCATGGCCACATGAAGGTTTATTCCAGCAGTCATCTGTCAACACTTGGTACAACTGCAGAAATCTGAAGTACAATTATAAAATTATGGTCCTCTGCAAAAGCTGCATTTAGCAAGAAGAAGAATCTTTTTACCAGCAAATTGGACTTAAATTTGAGGAAGAAACTAGTGAAATGCTACATTTGGAGCATAGCTCTGTATGGGGCTGAAACATTGACACTTAGGGCAGTAGATCAGAAACATCTGGAAAGTTTCGAAATGTGGTGTTGGAGAAGGATGGAGAAGATCAGTTGGACCGATTATGTGAGAAATGAAGAAGTGTTAATTAGAGTCAGTGAGCAGAGGAATATCCTACATGAAATAAGAAAACGGAAGGCTAATTGGATTGGTCATGTTTTACGCAGAAACTGCCTTCTAAAAGAAGTTATCGAAGGAAAGATAGAGGGGGGGATAGAAGTGACAAGAAGACGAGGAAGAAGACGTAAAAGATGCTGGATGACCTTGGGGACAGAAGAGGATACTGTCATTTGAAGGAGAAAGCTCTAGATCGCATTAAGTGGAGGAATTGTTTTGGAAGAGACTGTGGACCTGTCGTCTTGACAGATTACTGATGATGATGATGGTCCTCTGAGATGTGAGTGTGTAGTCAGGCAGGAAGTAGGTACAAACATTTTGGATGAGCCTGCTGTTTCCATCATCAGAGGAGGTGGTAGCAGCAGGTTCCTCCAAAGCATTAGTCCCAGACTACATGGCATCACATCCTGCAAGTCCATGGTCTTAATATTCAATGTTATGAAAATCTTGGACCTAATCAAGATAGCTGCCAACTCTGCTGGTACTCAATCCAAGCCACTCCAGAATACAGCATTACTCATACACACTCCAAAACACAGCCATTTGCTGAGGGTATTGTAACCAAAAACTGAGTTTATAGTAGCAAGAAACACAGTGTCCATGTTGTCAGTAATTTTAGTGGCTTATTTTATTGTGGTAGTTCAAGTATGAGGATATGTTTAATTACTTTTTTAATTCTGTAGTTCAGTAGGACTGAGCAGAATTCTTAAGCATAATAAAATAGCTTGTGGATAGTCCATGATTTATTTTATCCGTCTTCTAGTGCATACATTCATCTATCCCCTCTTCTCACTCGCACTACATGTTTCGGCACAAAAGTGCCATCTTCAGGTGCTGATCCAATCCACGACAAACTAGTTCATTGCATGCCTTGTCTATACATACTAAAATAACTAAAATATATATTTATCATATATACTGATAAATGTTAAGTGTTAAAATATTAAAATTGTACAGGATATTTCATTCCTACGTCGTGTTTCATTACGCGAGTCACTTCTATCATCTTCTGTTGGAGCACTCTTTCACTATCGTGTATTGTGCTCTGTGTTGCGTCTTGCTCCTGTGACTGCGTGTGTTATACTGCTGGACCTGCTGGGTATGTGTAGTAGTGCGAGTGAGAAGAGGGGATAGATGAATGTATGCACTAGAAGACGGATAAAATAAATCATGGACTTAAATCAGTGCAACAGGACGCTAAAATATAACATTAGCTTGTGGATAACTGGTAGATTAAGAAGGGGAGTTAGTTCATTCTTCACCTAAGAAGGGATATTATCAGCCTTGCATTCAGTTGCAAGACATGATGCTATATCTTGTCGATGAGAATTTTGAGACTCATGGCTTTACTTTGGTAATAGGATAGGTAGCTGGTTTCGTAAACCAAATGTGGGAAGGCCCAAGAGTGACCATTTCAATTGTATCCATGTTGTCCCTGTCAAAAATGCTGTTGGTGTTTAAAGGCTGGAATTGCTTGAAATTGTGTGTTCAATTGGAAGATTTAAAAACCTAAAACCTTTTAGAGGTTGAATATGCCCAATTGGAATCCAGAGGAAGACATACTTCTTTTGGGATTCATAGATCTGGAGAAAAATGCATCTTGAAGACCAAGTTTGGCTGGGACATCCTGTGAGATGTCACTGTGATGTAAGGGCACAGTACTCAGTCGATGTGCTACAAATTCAAAATTAATTAACCTTTAGAACTCCAAAGATACTACCTTCATTAATTAGCTTACTGTGGTTAATTTTTTCAGATATTTTGTAAATTATCTAGCTGCAACTTAACTAGAGAGTGTGTGATCCTAAAAGTAACAATAAACATTCAAAGAGTGATGATCTGTGTCATTGTATACTACAGTGCAGTGGCTGTCCTACCTGAGTCTAGCCTGTTAAACATGAAGATGGAATCCCATGGCTACCTATCCTTGAGTTAGCCATCCCATCCATTTACTCTCATGAATCTGACTGCTGGTACCCAGCAGACCCTCTAAATGTTGATGCTACCTGACCAAGTAGATTCTAAAGGGGTCTAATGAGGGTTTATAGCACTCAGAACTACTGGGTCTTTGGGCTTTATCCATTGTCCTGTTTTCTAAAAACTAGAAAAACCAGTTTCCAAAACTTTGTGTTTCCTAGTTTGCCCAGTGACTGAGGTTAGCTCTTTCTAAGGGACCCAAAAGAGTAGGTGTCTCCCCTCTCACCTGAGGAAGGAAACAAATCCAGTTTCCGAAAAGTATTTTCTAGTTTTTAGAATACTGGACGATGGACAAAGTCTGAAAACCCAGTAATTCTAACTGCCTGACCANAGGAAGGAAATAAATCCAGTTTCCGAAAAGTATTTTCTAGTTTTTAGAATACCGAACGATGGACAAAGTCTGAAAACCCAGTAATTCTAACTGCCTGACCAGCTGACCAGAACATTCTAGAATCCAAACCCATCACCCAGACAACAGAAGCAAACTCACAGATTGCCATGACCAGATAGAGAGAGAGGCAGAAAGGATGGCAATATTATGATGTCTTCAGTCAGACTATGTAACACTGAATGGTAGGATGACAGACGAATTGTAAATGAGGAGGAAGGAAGCAATCATGGCATAATTGAGGTACTATCCCAGAATTTGCTTGGATACACTGAGAAAAACCATATAAAATCTCAGGATATCCAGTGTCCTGGCTGAGATTTTGACTGAGTATCTCCGACATACAAGTCTAAGAGTGTTACCACCAGACAAACTTTTTTTATGTCAGAATGCCCTTAGGAGGTATGATATGCATATCTGGGTTACTTTTGGACAGCATGCAGTTTCATTTTAGGTCCTTTGCAGCAGCAATAAAAAAGTTCATTTCTTCGAGACTTAGGGTTTTCATACTGGTGAGTATTAAGGCTCTGGTCATCTGGGATATAGCAGTGTGTAGTTTGATAAAGTGTCACGAACAATTTGGAGGAACCTGATGTCATCTCCAGGGAAGGAGATGACTGCAGAAGGTTGGCAGCCCTCTGAAGATTACATAGTGCATAGTGTTTTATCAGATGTTCACCTAAACATTGAATCTGATTTTCTTACAGAACTGTAAGGTATATCACAGTCATTAGGAAGGCCCATGATTATTCTTTATTCTGAACATCTCTATGTTATATTTCTGTGACATTCATTATAATGTTACCCTCCCATCTGTTTGTATGCTTCCAAAGACATCCTATGAGACTTTGCAACAAAAATTATAAGTACCATTCTTTTTTGGAGGCACGTGGTAACATGGTTGGTTGAGGCACTATACTACAAGCTGGAAGATCATGGCTTCAAGTCCCGATAAGGTCATTGAATATTTTTCAATTGATCTAATCCTTCCAGCTGCACTATGGCCCTGGGTTCGACTCAGCCTCTAACAGAAATGAGTACCAGGTATATTCTTGGAAAATTCTTGGGAGTAAGGGTGGCCAGCTCATAGGGCTGACAACCTTGCTGCCATCTATGAGCTGATTATCTAGAAAATGTGGGAACCTCAACATCTCACAACCCTATGGGTCTCCACGGCCTGTTACAGGCATAACTTTACTTTACTTTTACTTACTTTTTACCATTCTTTTTCATCATGCCAGGTACATATTTTTGATTTGGTAATCCTAACAGTGCTGCAAATTAAGAACCTCCTCATACATAGTTTGCTATATTTCTCATATGTCTCTTATACCCATAAATATTTTCATCAGCAATCTGTTCTCAGGCGTTCATAGTGTCTGCTGTGTGATTATACATTATACATTAGTCTTGGTTTCACACCCTATAGAATTACAGTTTATAGTTTTATTGTAAAGAAGAACTAACTCAAAAGATCAAATAAAAACAAGAGTAAAATTAGGAAATATAATGATGTTATAAAATACATAACATTTGAGGTTCTTACAGTGGTTGTTATTAAAAATATTTACCATCTGGAATATAATACCATATAGTCTGTTGAAAGCCAGACCACCATGAAAGAGAGCCTGCCACCTACTCTCATGCTGGTTTCTTGCTTGGCTTGTTCTCAGACACAGAAGGAGGCAATATGTTCCTCCAAAACATCGATTGAATTTCAGTGAACTACATGACATAGCCCAGAATACAGTACTCTTCATACAAATAAAATTCAGGAAATGGTATTTCAGGCTGTCAGAACTTGATTTTAGAAGGACATTTCAAATTAAGCACTGAATGATAATGAAAGTAACTTTGTGAAAGTTGTTCTCATTGGAAGTATTACCTTCAGTAGCCTCTTCTTGTGCTTTAGCAGCCAATTGCCGTTTTTCTTTCTCTAACTGACGAACTCGCTCTTCTGGAGTCAACTCGTCAAAGGGCAACTGGCGAAATAGTACAATAAAAATTAATGTTTGTGTTCTTTGATTACAGTATGTATTTTATTGCCTTCATATGGTAAAGTGACTAGTCATCTGCTGCTCTAATTTTTTTAATCTTTGTCAAGTTAAAATTTGAGAACAGAAAGTAGTACCTACTTTAGCCTAGGACTTGTTAAAGCACTGAACAGTACTGTAAGTCACACATCTCATGAGCTTGGAATTCTGTTTAAATGACTAAATGCTTAAAACTGCCTGCAAAAGGTAGAATCAGGTTTGCAAGGTAGTGCTTTTGTCTTTCACACTGCTATGACTCAGGCTTGTAATTAGTTCAAAATTTAGCTTGAATTTGTTACATGCTTCAATGAATTTTAGCTGGTAAGAACATTTCTGCAACTTATAGTTTAGGATTTTCAACAATAGATGATACCTACCATGTTTCATTGCATTTATTGTACCCTGAAAGGAATTTATATCTTGTAGACTCAACACCCATCAGAGGATTTAGAAAGTTAAAACTGATCCATCATTGTCACTAATTAAGAAAAAAATTTGTGAAAATTCCAAGCTCTGTGATTTCTATCTTCAGTAATCCAGGTGGTTGCTGGGTGTGCACGGAGATCCTAGGTGAATGGCAGTGGAATAAGGTACTGAATACATGTCATACATTGTTGGTATTTTTACCACCTACAAGTCAAGAATGATTCTTCTTAACTAAACCATATTTTGTTGCTTCTTTAATGTGTCCCAACTTAAGTCCAGATAGATCTAGGAGTTCTACAAAACATTGCTTTCTCAAATACTTCATAAAATTAGATAGTAATGAAATTGATCTTATGATAAGTGCAGTATAACCTGCATTAAATGTTTGCTTAGGAAGCAGTGGATTTGAACAATTAAACTGTGGAAAATCTTTAATAAAGGAAATTTCAACACTGAAGTTGATGACTTGAAATCTTAAAAATTAAACAGCAAATGATGGGAAAGCTTAGATCGAGGAATGGTGAATTGGGGTTCCACTGTATATGGTTTACTTTCCAAAATCTATTACATTTTTTTTATTATAGACAAATAATTCTGTCAACATTGCAGCTATTACTATCACTCCTTCTCTTCATGACATGTTCTGGCCACAAATGGCTATCATCAGGTGCCTCAGCTATGCCAAAACTGTTTCACTGTATAAATTATCCACTTTTTACATTTAAATAAAGCTAGCAATTTAATGCAGTGGAAGCCACATTTAACTTTCCTGGAATTAAAGTTTATCTTCTTTAACATTCAATTGCAGTCATGTTAGAATCTGAGTGACTGATGGCAGTGTAGTCTTCTGGGTTATAATGCCATCTTGTTTCTAGAGAGCCTTATATTTCAGAGAACATATCGTTTCCATCTTCACACTCAAAGAGTAAGCCAAGCAAGAAACCTGCAAAATCAGGAAACAACTGGAGATGGAAGTAATATGTTCCTGCAAAACTTTGAGCTGTCTCCAAACAACAAAGCATTACAATCCAGAAGATGATATTTTCCAGATTCAGTGATTATAAGTTGATCATCTGGTGTTAAATATCCTCCATTTTGGATTTTACTTTAGTTTCCAAATCTCCTATTCCTAAATGAAATTTAAATGGGGGTTTCTGTGTGTAATGAAGTCACAAATTCAGATGTCTGGTGTTACTTACAGCATCACGTGTAGCTTCTCCCTTTTGTACCTCCTTCTCCTTTTTAATTTCCTTTATGATAAGATTTGTAAGCCTTGGTGCATCTGCTCCAAACACAAGATTCACTAACTGGCCTCCCTGTAAATACACTCAAACATGTCATCAATGAATTTCAGATGCCTGTGACATGTAATTCTGGAATTAGAACTGATACATGTGAAAAGTGAATCAGTATTAACCTAATCAATGTTACTGAGTAGTGTTACTGATATTTTATTCCATTAAAGACATTACTTTTGGCCTTGGCATCTGTCACTGGACCATCATTCTGATTGTTCTCAGTTTGAGTCCCAGTCTGCTCTGTGTGTAGACTTTTCTGCTTATAAACAGAAAACTTTACCCCTATCAAAGACAAAATTTTGAGAATGTGAATAGTAGCCCTTTCCAGGTTCAGAGCCCATGATATTCTGTAAGTTCGCAGTGCTGGTAATCATACTTATGACCATTCTATCTTTGAGGGTATCAGAATCTGCTCTATGCATGCCTCCACTTCCCAAAATGGGCTTTAGCCCTTGGCCTCCATGGGCAGAGACAAGGAATGTCAAAGAGACCATACTTGGAGGTATTAAGAACCAACAAACAACATTTGTATTACTTTGTTTAGCTTGAACAAACATGAAAATGGAATAGTGTCACTGCTCTGCAGCAAAGTACAGCCATCCTTTCACATTCTGTATGTGAGAAGACTTCGTTCCAAATACCAGATGAAGACTTGAGGGTGTGGACAGTAGAACACATGTCTGTCTGATCAATATTAGCAATTGTATAACACTGATAAGATGAACAGTGGAAGTTGGTTACTTAAACATAGTCATACCGCAATAAACATCCATGTTGGTTCACTGCGGTTCTGAAATCTTGAGAGGGCTTCAATGTCATCTGATTTTGCCTGTAGAACAAACACACCTCTCATTGTTATTATTCTGTATATAAATAAATTATGTGTGATTTGCTGTAATGCAGTCAATAGCTCAGAATGTATAACATTGAATGGTAGGATAATTAGTCAATAATGAATTGGAAAGGAAATAGAAGGAAGTTGTTTTGGCCTAATTTGAGTTAACATAACACTTGCCTGGAAGTACTGAGGAAAACAATGAAAAGTATTGGTCAGGATATCATATACAGTTACAGTATGTTAGTTTCAGAATTTTGGAACATCAATAAAAAAAATATAAATTTAATGATAAAATCAGGAAAAGAATAAATTCTGGAAATGATTGTCAGTATTCAGTTAAAAAACTGTTATGATCCTACATACTTTTCAGAATGATGAAGACCAGGATACTCAGGATACCAATAATTTGGTCACTTATGTTTTGGGGTTTGAAATGTGTCTCTTTTTGGGGGCAAAGAATATGAATCATAACTGAAGAATTCTGTCTTTGGGTTATAATACCGTATAGTCTTGTGAAAATCAACTGACATTTGGAGAAACATGTTGCCTTCATCTTCAGGTTTGAAGAGTAAGCCAATATATGTAAAAGATAGGGTATGAACTAAGGAACAAAATTGCGTGCAAGAATTATGTAAGGAAAAAGATTTTGAAATGTCCATAGTGGAATTAGTGGATTATAAAATAGTTCTATTGTGTATTTATAGATCATCTGATGGTGACTTTTGAATATTTCTAAAAGAGATTGGAAATAATATTTCAAAAAGTGCTATCATTTTATGTGGAGAATGGAATATAAATGTTATGGAAGATAGTGCAAGCTCACGTGAATTAAAAAACTTGCTGCTGCTGTATAATTTGGTCAATACAGTAACATCTCCCACCAGAATCACAATGGAATCTTCAACACTGATAGACGTTATTGTAACAAACAAGCAGGCTTATGAATGTTCATCAATGGTTTTGGATCTGGGTTATTCAGATCACTTGGCACAAATGCTAAAGATACATGTTAATAGTCCAAATAGAGGACTCATAAAGATCAGAAAAAGACAGTATATCAAAGGAAATATTGAAGAGTTTAACTATTTATTGCAAAAATAATTATTGCAGGAGAGTCTTTATTTCTCAGACATTAACTCACGCTTTAACACATTTATGGACACGATCCTTTATCATTTTAATACAGCATTTCCACTAAAAACTGTTTATTGTAGTAACTTAAGAAAGAAAAGTTGAATTACCCATGGAATACGAATCTCATATAAAAGGATGAGATTGCTAAATGGTTTTAAAAGACATAATAATCTTTCAAGCAATATGCAGGACTACATAAATAGATATCATTTCATTTATAAGAGAATCCTCAAAGAAGCTAAAAGAATAGATAATGATAAGTATGTTTTAAAGGCTAAAAATAAAACAAAAGCTATGTGGCATGTATTAAATAAAGTAGTTGGAAAATCTTTGAAACATGTTAAAAGAATTGAATTACATGTTGGAACTAATATAATATCAGATCACCAAGAAGGGCAGATATGTTAAACAAATACTTTGTCGAAATAATTGATGATCACGTGAATCGAAATAGTAGTAAAAATGGGAATTTTGCACAGGTGCTGAAACAAAGGATAAATTTCTGTCCAAAAACAGTGTTTCTTTGTCCAGTTACTGAAGATGAAATAGGATGTGTAACAAAAAGTTTAAAAGGCAAACTTTCAGTCGGTTATGATGAAATTCCAGAATATCTAGTGAAACAATGTATAAAATATATTGAAAAACAACTTGTTCATATTTATAATGCCTCATTAAGTTCAGGTACTTTCCCAGACAGACTGAAAATAGCAAAAGTAATACCTATGTATAAAAATGGGGACATTCATGATGTCAAAAATTATAGACCTATATCAATTCTATCAGAATTTTCCGAAGTGCTAGAAAAAATAATGTATAATAGGTTAATACCTTTTTTAGTGGAAAATAATGTAATAACAGAAGCCCAGAATGGCTTTAGGAAAAAGAAATCAACAGACACAGCAAGTCAGACTTTTATTGAAAGTATACAGGAGGCACTAGATAAAGGAATTCATGTCATAGGATTATTCTTTGATTTAACAAGGGCATATGATGTGATAAATCATGATATATTATTAAATTATATTCATATGGCATAGAGGTGAGTCAGATCTGTTTAAATCTTATTTGTCAAATCGATCCCAGTTTGTTGAGCTTGGGGACACAGATTGTAGAAATCCCCTTAGACAAAGGTACACTTCTTTGTACGAAAGTGGANAGTCACTGCCACAAAAAACTCAAAACTTCTGTATGGCTAATCTCAGAAGTGTTTAGAAAATGGAAGGATGCATACTTACAATGGCAAATGTTAAGAAATCTCCTCCAACCTCCAGTTTTATTTTCTTCAATGTCCCAATCATCCCAAGACATGGACCACACCATTCTGAATACACATCAACCACTGCAATGTGCAGCAAGTATGAATGTAATTTCTTCACACGAAAATTATATGAAAATTTCTTGTGGTAAAGAATTCCGTCTTTTGGGATATGTTTTAGAATACTTTATGAATGTTACACTAAAGGACAAAGAGACTTTGGCTGTCCATGGCTATGATGGACAGTCTGTCTTCGAAGTGTTTATAAATATATTTTACAATTTTTTCAGTGAAAGGTTTTTAAATACCTTTAACAGTTATATTTTAAAAGTTCCTCAGATGAAATACCTTAAGAAGCGAGTGAGAATAAAATAATTCATGCTTTGTAAAGGAATTAGTTTTTGAACCAACATACATGCACACAAGAATGATCACAAGATACACTGAAGTACCAATTAATAAACCTTGCACGGAATTTGTAAGGGACTTCTTGAAAGTATAACAATATATAACCACCAAAATTTCCTGAATTTACTTTAGAAAAGCCATCATGTTACCAAATTTACTAGGTTTGTCATGATGCTTACCTGTAAGACCATCTTTTTCCAGTAGTTTTTTCCATTGTTCTTCTGTATTCACCTCTAACTGCAGCTGGACAACTTGACTTTTCTTACCTGCCATCCTATGGTTCACAACCTAATAAAAGAATTTTATACACTTTTAGAATACAAATCATATATTTTTAGTAATTATTATAAATTAATTATATTATTTTATTTTTCATACTGTTTCTCTTCTAGCCATAAGTTCAAGACTGATAATTTATGGACTTGTTAAGGAAAAATCTAACTTGCTGAACAACTTGTAACTAGTAGTTCTAATGGAATTCATTCTGCTCTTATATGCCAGTTTCTGCCAGTTGAATACTGCAGAAAATTAAATAATGATACAGAAGAAAAGAAATAATGATACATCTACAACAAAGTGATATTGTGTACCATTTTGCTCATGGCAGATAGAGTAGAAATGAATGGCATGCATGCGTGCTGTGATACAGAACATGCAATGAAGGAATAAGCATGCAATTGCTTGCATGTTCATTAACTACATCTATAAACATGAACTTACTTGAAACAAAGGATAAGAAAATTATTTCAATATGTATATAAATAAATTTTACTCTGTTACATGAAGAAGTTCACATAGACTATTATTATGCATAATGGTTGTATGTCAACAACTGTCTGGTTGCTATGGGCAACAAACTGTGTTATGAGTCTATTTTGAAAAAAAATCACTGAAGTATTAAGAGTTTATTACTGCAAACTCATCTTTTGTTAACATTGTAATTTTTAGTGACATGCTAAATCTTACAGTCTTTAATGAAGAGGTTATGAATAACAAGTCAGTAGTAAAATATGCCCTGTTTTATATTGCTGTGAATAAATGTGGTAGAAATATTAGCTATGTTGTAAGATTTGAGGCTTTCACAGAGGTGACTATGAAGAAAGCAGTCTTCTGGGATTTGGCACCGTGTATATGTGGTGTTAACCGACGTTTCGGAGGAACATATCGCCTCCACCTTCAGGGTAGAAGAAAAAATATAAGAAATCTGCAAGCTAAGAGACCGTGAGAACTGGTAAAAGCAGACTGCCAGCATAATAAAATATCTGAAGTAATATAATGAACCTTGAACATCTTAAGTATATAAATGTTCACAAGTTCAATGCTGAACACAATAATATGGCCAGCATAATAAAATATCTGAAGCAATATAATGAACCTTGAAAATCTTAAATATACAGGGTGTCCCAGGAGGAATGTGCCAAACTTTGGGAGGGTGTTCCTTATGTTAAAGTATGCCGATATAACCCAAAACACCTATGTCCAAAGTCGAACGGTTACGGAGATAATGGCCAGCGAAGTGTGAAACTTTGACCGGTGTTACACACTTGTTGATTACAAAATACATATTAAAACTGGCAGGAATATGTGGTTTCTGTAATGTTAATAATGTACGTAACATCAAAGTAACTTGTGAGTGACATGAAGCCATAAAATTGAAGTACAAAATACTCGCTCGCCATATCATAATTGTCTTTAGATTTCCATGACATGACTGGCAAGCACTGACGTAACATGGCTGAGTGCGCATACTGGTATAAACAGACTACATAACTGTATTAAACGTACATTCACGGAAAATCTCTTTTGGAATTTCGTTTCCATTATCTCATGTGGATTATTATGGGACCACGTATGCACATTTCGTAAATTATTTACACCGTCCAGGGTAAAACACGCCTCATCACTGAATAAAATGACGCTTAACAATTCGGGATGAGCTTTTATCCAGTGGCACAAAACCATACGCTGAGCATGGTCGCCTGGTTCCAGATGTTGTACCCTTTGATCATGGTAAGTA